GTATAATACTTATGGAGAAATTTACATTTTTTGTAATAGTATTAATTTCGAATTTTTCTTTTACTGTTTATTAACTTTATTAATTGAATATTGTTAATCTACTTGTATATTATGTTTAGTTTAGCTTCACAACATATTTAAAATTGGATTTAATAAAATATATTAATTAATAAATATATTTTATAAATTATGTGTTATAATAAAAATTTAATTAGGTTAGAAGATTGATTTGCTTATTTTTATATAATTTTTAAAGTTAGATATCAACAATGCTTGGCGACCATAGTAAAAACCTATGCTTAGAGCTACTAATAAAAAATATTTTTGGGACCTTACCTATATAAGTATTTTCTGGGGTCCTCGAATACTGATATAGTGTATGAGAAGATGAATTAACCAATAGTTTATCATAACAAGATTTATTGAACTAATTAAAAACTATGTATGATTCGTTTTATACAAGAACGAAGAAATTGTCATCTCCGAGATCAAGTTTATTTATTTACTTGATTTTGCTTTTCTTCCTCTTTTTTTGGGAACATTATTTTGATTTTCTTTGTCATTTAGGGGAGGCCAGAAATGACGTCATTTCATAGAGGGGGGAGGGGGGGTCATCGCACGATGATATTACACAAATCCCATTTTAGGCGTATCATGAGAGGGGTCATCGCATGATGACATTACACAAAATTTCATTTTAAGTATTTCACGTACTGCGCCTTTTCAAATTTATTGAACTTTGAATTCCGCGAAAAAAAAATTTTCGTCCATTTTATTTTAACCATGTTTGTCTTCCTATCCTTTTTTTTCTATATTAATGAAACAAACCTATTTTCGAGAACAAAAGTATTCCAGGAATTTTCTTGTTTCAAAGCCACGAAACCTTTATGAACAATATGTGAATGCTTTTGCATTTTCTGAAATGGTAAAAAGTCAAAATACTGCACCAAGCAAGAGGGAGCTTCAGCAACAAGCACAAAGTAGTTGGCGAGAAATCCAAACTAAAAATAAGAATGATATTCATAGTCTTATTTCTGAACTATTAAAGACTCCTATTCAACCTTCCTCTTTCAATTTTTCACGAAAAAAGACTATAGTTGAACATTCAATATCACCTCCAACATCACCTAATCCTCCCAATATTCCTAATGATACTCAATTTTCAATTAATGCAGTGGCTTAAAAAAGGTCAGATGCTATTATTAATCAAGCAAAGACTGAATTGTACGAATATAATAACCTACTACGAACAGCCACATCATCAGCACTTCATACACAATTTTCCTCAAAAATTAAAAAACTTGAAGGGACTATAATGGTAGAGGAAAGTAAGATTAAAAGTCTAAAAGGCAATGCAGCAGCTCAAAATCGAGCTCGAGAAAGGAAGCGACAAAAATTAGATAAGGAGAATATTGTAGAAATATATGATGCTCCAGGTCATCCATCATATTTAATAAATAATCCCGATCTTCTGGAAAAAATGCATAGCAGCATTGAGTTTGGTGCTGCAGATCCCAAACGACGCAAAGAAGTAATCAAAGTACGCACAATTAAGCATCTTCGCGAAAAAATGGAGGAAGATTATAATATTTATATGTCGAAGTCTACAGTGAAAAATTATATTCAACCTCGTCATCTAGGAACAACAGAAGCTAATCGGCATCATCATCCTGCGCAAATACGACTGGCAGCTGTTGGAAGAAATGAAATGAGTGAACATGTGGATGAGCATTATTGTTTAGCATCAGTGTCGTTGGGCTGGATGTGGGTCTCGCTACCGCTCCACCCACCTCGGCCTCACGGCCTCGCAGTACCTCCTTCCCCCTACGGGGGATCAGTCACCATCTGTCATTAACATCAGTCATATAACAATATACTAAAAAAGGATAAAATAAGGGAAAAGAGAGGAAAATACGATAGAATCAGAGGGGTATGACAGATATGACGGATATGACAGATATTTCAGAAAAATCGGGAGAGGGGAATCCCCAGAAAAAAGTTTTGATTTTACCCCCAGATCTGTCATTCTGTCATAGTTCTGTCATATAATCAGGATTCCGTCTAATAATCTGTTGGAAGCAGTGAGATAGCAAACCAGATAAGTTAGCAGGTAAGCCCCTAGAAGGTCTATAAAGCCAGTAAGACCAACCCCGTCCCGCCTCCGTCAGAAAAAATAAGTAATTGAACAATGGGTATTGAGAATAGAGCATATCCAGATAAGTTTAGAAGACAGTACTAATCCGTCTTCCTCTTTTTTGCCTCCTTAAGGCATTTATCAATACACTGTTTACACGCGTCATCAGAATCTAAGATTTTCTGTCCAAGTTTTTTGCATTGCCGATTGTAAGCCGTCTGCTGTCTCTTAGCAGCGGTTTCTTTTTTCTTCTCCTTAGTCTTCTTCTTGATCACCCAGTCTATTCCAGTAAAAGTATTCTTATGCATACCACAAATTGTGCAGTCACCATGCAGCCGGTAACGCCCATTTGTAGTCATATCTTGTATTTCACTAGCCGTCTCAGTTTCTTTCTTGCACTTTAGGCAGTAAAAACGTGTCATTTTAAGATTTGAAGTCTAAAACCATTCCTTTAATTTGTCGTAATATGTCACACTTAGAGAATTACTATAAGTACTACAATCTCTCCGGAGTATCAGCACGAATTCTAAAAGGTGAAGAGCACTACAACCTATACAAAAAGCCCCTAAAGGAAAAGTCAACAGAACGCCCAAAGGTAATTGTATGGAAACCAAATGCAACACATCAGGCAGATCTTGCAGAGATGCCAGTTGACCCCAAAGGATTCCACTATTTTCTCGTAGTGGTGGAAGTTGCAGGAAAGAGAGTCGACGCAAAACTCCTAAAGGATAAAACTGCAAATAGGGTTCTCAATGGATTTGTTAAAATATACAGAAGAAATCGTATCAAGCCTCCAACACACCGACTGGATACTGACTTCTGATCAGAATTCACTAATTATCAGGTACGTGATTTTTTCCTGAACAGCCTAGGGGTAATGATGAGGTTCGGAGAGCCAGGAAGGCATAAACAGCAATCTTATGCTGAAAGAGCTATCCAAGCCATCCAAGAACCCCTTCTTAAACGAATGGTAGCACAGGAGTTGAAAACCGGGGTGACATCCGTGGAATGGTCAGAAGATTTCCATAATATAGTGAGTAAAGTAAATGAACTCTGG